CCCCCCCTTCCCTCCTCCCCATGATTTATGATGGGCAATTTGCTAGTAATGTATTAATTGTCTCATTACTAGTTAAAAACAAACCCAAAAGAATCCCTAACCATTTCCAGACCCTCAAAAATACAACAAAATAAATCAATTGCAAGGAAACAGTCAACAGTAAAACACAAAACAAAGGAAACACATGCAGACATATGCATTTCTCCTGCTGATGGATCTTATCTGTGGCAATGCACCTGAAATAAACCCTTGCTTCAGCTCATAAAGGCAGGCAAGATTGTGCTGGCATGAGCATGCATACTTCCAACATTAACATAGTTTAGTACATTTACCAAACACCAGCAGCAAGTTTTTAAAACTTTCTTTTGACCCCACGTCAGTTCATGTAAAATGACCAGCATTTACATTAATGATTCATAATTCACTAACATCTGTTTCAGTTCATAGAAAGGAATGGCTGTTTTCAAGCCCTAAATAGCACTTCAACGAAGGAGTGTCCAAAGGCGGCTTATTTCATGTACTTCATTAAGAGCTTCATGTATTTTAAAGAACAATGGCTGCCTTTCACCAGTTTTTTGCATTTTACCTTTCCTCTCTGGCAGCGACAAAGCACATTTTACGGTAAACTGTCAGCTGAGAAACTGATTTAGGAAAGAAAGAGAGACATCGCTTGCCTACATCGAGCACAGCTTCACCTTTGTCATCATCGTGACTGGTGGACTTGACTGATACAATAAACCAGATAACCCGTGTGATACAAGGCTAACACAAGTAAACTGATTTTTGTTATAAGCGAGGACCAGAAATATTCTGCATCTTCTCCCTATGCAAAGAATAACTGAAAGCCGAAAAGGTCAAAGAACTAAGCCAAAACAATGAATGACAGCAGAGCACATTTTACAAATCCCTATTACATCACCCAGAGAAAACAAAACATGCTCGGCCAAAAACCACAAGTGCCCATTCTAGATGATCCCTCCTTTTCATATTTTTGTTGGTTTATGATCTACTGGCATGAAGCATACTAGGGTCAGTGTATAAAAATGCAAATTGCATACCTGGAGCTCTAGGGCACAAAAGCACAATTGCCTCGCCTCTGCAAAACTGATAAGCCTTTTCACAGACAAAAGGATAAAATAATGCACGTACATTTGAACTCAATAGACGGACTGATTTTGTTTTTTCAAGCTCCATCCTCCTGTCGAAGGTTTTCTGGAAAAGCCATGCAGAGCAAAGCTTGCACATTCCTCTGTCTAAATGGAAGGCATAGCCACTTGATTTTTATTCACTTTGAAACAGAGATGTTTTCTTTGGATACATTATCATTGTAGCTCTCTTCACATGGCATGAAGTCCATAGCTGATTTACTTGGCTGGAACACTCTGTCAAATACCTGAAACACTAAGTGCCTGTGTGTAGTGTGTATAATGGGATGGAAATATTTATTATATATTATACAGCTGAATGATCTCACCGCTTGTCTAAGATTATGACTATAACTTGAAGAAGATGCAAGCTGCAGTTCCAAATTAAAATTCCTCTCCTTATCTGACACGTTCTTTTACAAGCTGGCTGCATGTAGCCATGTGATCTTTGGATGTCAAGTTATACTTACTTTGTACAGTGAGAAAAAAGCTCTTTGCAGGGGCTGATTTCGAGTTTTTCCTCCGTCTGCTGGACAAGATCTCGACTGACTTCTGTGACATAAACTGGGGACTATGGAGAGAACAAAGAGGGCGTGTTATCTTTGTGATAAGAAGCAGATGCTTCCCTGCTAGCACATGTTATGCTCTTGATCGTTCCAAATCAGCTCCAGTAATTTTGTCAGAGGAAAGGAGAACCGAGTCATGCTGCAAGTCAAATAGGATACCATCGTGAATTCCCCCACACGCCGCTAGATCCTTGTACTAATGCAATAACCTTTCATGCGCTCTTCTGTACCTTCACCCTCTTCTTCATTTCCATGAATATGCAAAACACCCAGCTTGCCAACTTCCAGCAGCTCACAGACCACGTTTCAAACCCCATGCAAAATCTGCTATGCTGAACTGCATACAGGCTGATTTTGCATTCTTCAAAACAAAAGCAAATTCTACCCATGTTTTCCCATCATTGATGCTTCACTGCATTGTCTGAAAACTCCCCCACTTTTATTTTTAGCAGGAACCAAACACAAAGAACAGAGACGATGTATTTCAATTTAAATAATACAAAAAGATGCCTGTGCCTAGCTGTGGGCACCTTACATACAGCTGGTAGCAAAACAACGGCCCATCAGCATTAAAATAATCATTTCAAACAGGAACTCAGCCAACCGACCAAGTAAGAAATTTCTCCTAATCCTTCTGTCATTGTAGAAAACACACCAGAGGCCTTCTCCAAACATCCTAACGGGAAGTTTTTCACCGTGTGCCCAGCCAAGGAGCCAAATTCAGGTAATTTTGGACCAATTAATAGTAAAGCCCTAGTTTTTAGGCAAACTCTTGAACACTGGAAAGAAAAAGAGCCATTGTTATAACAAATGAATGGCATTTTATATTTTGTGTATGGGTCTTATTAGGACTCTTTTATATATTCCATAGGATTTTTTTGATATCTTATTCCCTTAGGTTCCTGTGAAAATCGTGTGTGTGTGTGTGTGTGTGTGTGTGTGTGTGTGTGTGTGTGTGTGTGTGTGTGTGTGTGTGGGTGTGA